AGAACAAGTACTTATAGATAGGGTTCAAGTGTGTTTAAGTAATGTAGAAATATTCACATCTTCTACACACAATCTCTGTTTTCTAGGAGAGAATATTTTCATTTCCTTTGTCTTGGTTTGATGCATGGTACTTTAGTGAGGTCATTCTTGTTTATTTGAAACAGGGTCTGCCTATGTAGTTCAGGCCAGCTTGAAACTCACTGTGTAGCCCAGGGTGGCCTTGAGCTCACAGTCATCCTCCTGCCTCAGCTTCCCGAGTGCTGGGATTATAGGTGTGCCACCATGCCCAGCTATAGTCATCTCATTCTTGACTAAATCTCTAATTCATGAGTGTCAGAGTATATGAAAGTCTTATAACTTCACATTTTTTGTCTCTCTTCTAACTTTCATGAATCCAAGCTTATTTCAAGTTATCTTTCATTCCTATTTTTAAAACATGAGTTTTAGTAACTTTCTCATCTCTGAGATATAATGACATCCTTGTAGAAGTTTCAGTCCATTGTTGGCTGGCCCCAAGGCAGGACAGCATGGCACAGGGTTATGGTTTCCAGGAGGAAGCAGAGAGCATTAAGGGTGGAGCCAGAAAAGGAGATAAACCTTTATAGGCCCCACCCCCCACCACCTCACCTCTACGACCAGACCCTACATACTGATATCAAGTCAGCTATACAGCCCCAATAATCCAATCACCTTCCAAAGGTCCCACCTATGATCACATGAAGCTTTAGGGAGGATATCTGGATATAAACCATAATGTTCCATCCCTGGCCACCAAAATACTCATGTCCATTTCTTTATGCAAATTGTATTTAGTCCACCTCTAAGAGTTACCAAAGTCCTAACAGTTCCAGCAATGCTTAAAAGTCCAAGTCTAGCTGGGCATTTAGCTCAGTGGTTCCGCCACCTGCCTCCCAAGTGCAAGAATCTGAGTTTGATCTCCAGTACCAAAAAAAAAAAAAAAAAAAGTCCAAGTCTAGTGTCTTCTTTGAGACTTAAGGCAAACTCTCAGCTGTGAGCCCCTGTAAAAATCAAAAGTTAAACACTGCCAACACACAATGGCTCAGGATAAACACTCCCAAAAGAAAGGAAGGTCCAACAAATTGGACCAAACCAAGATCAAAATTCAGCAAGACAAACATTAAATCCTGTAGTTATGTCCAGCACCTAGAGGAAGTTGTGGCAAGATGCACTCTCCCAAGGGGTTGGGTGGCCTTGCCCCTATCTAATTGCTAGTGGTCAAAGCCCTTATTGGATTCTCTCTTGGGCTGGTTTTGCTCATTCCCTGCTTATTCCCACTCTGTAGCCTAGGCTGGCCTCAAACTTACTTCAATCTTCCTGTCTCAGGCTCCTGAGAGCTGGAATTACAAACATGCACCAGCATATCCAGCATTTGGCTTCTTCTTTTGTGTGTGTGTGTGTGTGTGTGTGTGTGTGTGTGTGTGTTTTACTGGGGATTGAACTCAGGTTCTTGTGCTTGCGAGGCAGGTGGCAGAACCACTGAGCTAAATCCCCGGCCCCTTGGCTTCTTTTTAAAATCACTCTTTGCAGCAGTCAAGCTCTCCTCTGTTCCATCTTTGTGGGCACCAACTTTACAGGAGATTCCTTTCTGGTGAAACTCAAAATTTTAAAAATCACTCAGTGGTGTGGTAGAGCTAGCTAAAAGCCCCGCCCCCGGCTGCCTTGAAATTTCCTCTGCCAAATCAGTTAGCCCACCACCCTCAACCTGTCTCCTACAAAGTCTCAGGACACGAACAAAATGTAGACAAATTTTCAGCCAGAGTGTAAGATACCTACATGGTCTTGAGTCTAACTGCTAATGGAGTCTTCGTTCCCAATAGAAATCTTCTCAGCCTGGTCTTTACCATATGCATTTCTATCAGCATTCTTGTCTTCTGAGCTCCAATCAGAATCTCCCATTAAACTTGTCTCACAGCATTCTAGGATTGCTTCTCCAGCACATATCTCCAAAACTTTCCAAACTCCTCTCACAAACCAGTTCTAAAGCCTTTTTTTTTTTTTTTTTTTGAGACAGGGTCTCACTAAGTAGTTCAGGCTGGTCTCCATACTGCAACAATCTTCCTGCTTCAGCCTCCCGAATTACAAGCATGTGCCACCATACAAGGCTCAAAATAAAATTTTAAAAAGACTGAGATGGAGCTTAGTGGTAGAATTGTAGAAGGCCCTAGGATTCAATGTTCAACATAGAGAAAAATCAGTTCAGTGAAAGTAGATCCAGTAGCATTGCTGGTTTATCTAGTAAGGTTTCCTCAAGGTTGGCCTGTCAAATACTGTTGATTATTTTATTACAGGTCAGACTTGATAAATGCCCTCAGTTCCAAGATAATGGAGTAGATGCTAAGTAATTATTTGCCAAAGGTTTCATTGTCATAGCAACCTAGAAATGCACTGAGAGTTCTCTGTAATTCTAATACTCCCCTCTAACACGCCCCCCTCAAAGAATGTCTTTCTGATTGTAGAGCTCAGAAAATCCACACAAATCCATGAGGCACTTGGCAGTCCTATTTAAGAAGGACCTTTTCACAACAGCTTGCTCTCTCAAGAAGTTATTTACACTTACGTTCAAGGCACAGGTCCACATCCCACCCAAGCCCGTAGAGGGCAACTGGTCCCTTACATCTTTATCTGAATTTTGGCCTCTTTCTTCCTTCCTTCCACCAGAGTCAACACTAAAGCAACAGGTATTACTACACAGAATACAATTATTCTCATGAAGCCTTCTTGACAGAATATGATTAGTAATACTGATCTTCCCCATAGATTATGTAGGCTTCGGATAATGCCTCATTATCTTTAAGGTAACTACACAAAATGGTGCAAAATGTCAATAAAACACACAGCCACTATATGTGCAGTTATAGTTTGGCATTCATTTATGCACCTAAGACAAAGCTTTCTTCCTTAAACTCATTTGACCTATTAACATTCTTTTTCCAATACATCTTCTCTCTCCGTGAGGGGGAATCCTGCTACAAAGAACATACACTGACAGTTTTATCAAGGCAGCAATACATTGACTTTGGTGATTAGAATCAGTGGGCACCTTAAAAAAAAAATCACACACTTCTTTCCCCCATATTAGTTTTTTATTTTTTTATGGTACTGGGGATTGAACTCAGGGCCCTCACACTGAGCTAAAACCTCAGCCCTCACCACCTTTTAAAAGGGGGTGGGGCCCTTTTAAAAAAATTTTGGGACAATCTTGCTAAGTTGCTCAGGTTGGGCTCAAATTTGGATTCCTCCTACCTCAGCCTTCTAGAGTCCTGGGATTACAGGTGTGTACTACCTACCACAAAGGGCTCATATTGCACATTTTTAAGCCTTTTGTTTGGGGTAGGGGTTAGGCCTTTTTTTTCCTCATTGCTGTCTTACAGTTCTAAAATTACTACAAAAATCATATATCCGAATTTTCTTTGCAAATAAAACAAAATTAATAGATTAAACCAGACTCATCATTTCAAAGGAAATATGGGACAACTAGGTTGTAAGACAAACAACTCTCTTAACAAAATCGTCATCTGTAAAACGGGGATTCTACCAACAGAACTGCCTGCTAAAATTTTTCACCTCTTGGTCTAGACAGATTTTCTAAATTCCCAGCCCAAAAGTAGTAATTTTTTCCATGTTTTCTGTAAAACAAATGGCCTGAAAACTCTTTTGTTCTCTGGTGCAGCTTTTCAGAAGGAAATGGCTCTCTTTATCAAGAATGAATCTAGCTTCCCCCACTCAAAGACAACCATCTTCTTCATATCTTCCACATCACAATAACATTTTAAGTGTCTTCCTTTTTTAATTTAAATGCTGTTCTGTTCAAGGGAAGGTCCATAGCTATGGGGTCTTTCTACAGAGGCCTTTGTGCCTCATAGGTCACAAGGGTGGTTTCTGGGCTTGGTTCTTTTTCTTCCTTATATGCCCTCAGCATGACACTGTGGGAACAGTGAATATCAACAGGGTGGTTTATAATTAGCCTTGGTGTCCAATCAATGTAGTTTTTTAATTTTTAATTTTTTTTTTTGGTACCGCGGTTCGAACTCGGGACCTTGCAATTTCGAGGCAGGCGGTGGAAACCACTGAGCTAAATACCCAGCCCTATCCAATGTAGTTTTAAACTTTTCCATTCCTGTCCTGTTCTTTAGATTCTGCTATGGTCTGGAAAGCAAACTCCATACAACCTTTCTCAAGCCCTCTTCTTCCTTCACCATTCAAGAATGATAGGCTTTCATAGTTAGTACCTTACCTCACCTTTTGTCTCCACAAGTTCATCTGCTTCTTTTCTGAGCTACAAAGGTAGGCTAGGGACTTGTCAAAGGGTACCCAGGGGTTGGTACAGCCAACCCAGACCCTTCTGGGGTATCTCAGTTGTCAACTGAACACCTGTTTCTCTTTCTCTCCTCCCCTCGCTCTCCTTTTTCATTTTTTGAGACGAGTCTTGCTACACTGCCCAGACTGGCCTGGAACTCACGTCCTCCTGCCTCAGCATCCCCAGCAGTTGGGATTACAGGGCGTGAACCATCACACCCGGCGGAATACTCGTTTTTAAAAAATGTATCCCCTAAAAGTTCCATCTAATTCTGAAAGAGGATGGACCAGCTACCACATGAGCCCTTTGTCTCAGCCTTGCACACTACTCACATCCTCATCCATAAACGTCCATCCTCACACAGGTAAGGAGTCCGCTCACCACATGGCGGGGGAAACCACATTTTCGCCTCTAAAGGGATGGGCTATGTTCGAGGTCCCCCAGAATCCAAAATTCTACAAGTCTACGAACAAACGTGCAGGTCCTATTTCTGAGGTGAAGAAGACGAACCCTGGTGCGACCCTCGCACTCGGGCGCGTGTGCTGGCAAGTAGCACAGCCCCCTTTAGCCGGACTTTGCTTATCCGACCTCGGGCGCCGGGCGGTGGACGAGGCCCGGGGCCCGCTCGCGGCCGCGCCATGCCCTCCTTCACCCTCGCCCGCCGCCAAGGGCCGCCTCTCACCTGGCACGCTGGCATTGCCCGCTCCGCGCCGCACCGGAGACCATGGGTCGGGACGGGTTTCGGAGGCCACCCGTCCGCCTTAAAGGAGACTAGCGGGCTTGAGCAGCCACCGTAATCTAGCGTCCCGACACCGTGAACACGCCGCCTGGTTTCTAAGGAACCGGGGGCTCTAGAAGGGAGGGGCGGGACAGAGGGAGAACAGCGCATGCTCCGTGAAGGGGGTGGACCTGCGAGGGGAGGGACGGGGCCGGGAACTGCGCATGCTCGCTCATTGGGGCGGAGCCGAGATAGTCCTACTGGGAGGTCCTGGTGTTGTATTTCCGGCGGCGTAAGCGGTGGTGTGAGCGTTTTTACACCCTTGATTTTTCTCGGGTAAATTGGTCCTAGAAATTGTGGTCGACTTTGTTTTTCCTATGATGAAGCAAAGTTTTGTTTTGGACAACGACCTATCTTTGCAGAAGGCCGGGTCTCGAACTTGTCGGACTTCCTGGCTTCCAGTGACTCGCTTTCCTGTGTTCTCATATTCCTGTCTAGGCTTCTCTTCCTCTGGATGTTTTTTGTTCGTTAAATGTCAGTGCTCTTTATTTAAATTTTATTTTATTGGTACAGTTTAGGTATCCAATATAATGACATTCATCATTGGAAATTTGCACCTTTACATAATCTCTCGTTTCTTTTTTTTTCCCTCTTGTTTCTTAATTTTCCCCCTTCCCCTGCCCTCCCTTCAACCCCTCTATCCCTCCCTATTTACAAAGACTTTGTTTCCATCTTTTCATTTTCTCATATTCCATTCCCTTCTTTCCTTTCCCGTACCCCTCCCATTTCCCCTTCCCCTGTGCCCCTTTTCTTCCTATTTCACATTATTATACCATTTAGTTATTTACACTTTCAGTTTCTCACACTAGAGAAACTATCCGGTATTTACATGTGTGTCCTGTTTATTTCACTTAAGAGTATCTCCTCAATGTGCATTCATTTAGCTATAAATGTCTAATTTCTCATTTTTTATGGCTGAGTAGTACTCCATTTTATTAAAAAAAAACACATTTTCTTTATCCAGTCTCCAGTTGATGGGCATTTGGGCTGCTTCCAAGTTTTAGCTATTACAAATTGTGCTGCTATGAACATGGGTACACAGATAGCACTGTGGTATGATTCTTATAATTTTGGGGGGAAGATACCCAGCAGTGGAATAGCTGGGTCAAATGGGACTTCCAGTCCTAGTTCTTTGAGGTATCTCCATACTGATTTCCACAGTGGTTGCACCAGTCTACACTCCCACTAGCAGCGGAGCAGGGTTCCTCTTTCCCCACAGCCACACAGCGTTTGTTATTGGTTGATTTCATGATAGCAGCCATTCTTTCTGGAGTGAGGTGGAATCTCAGCATTGTTTTCATATTCATCTCTTGAACACTTTTTATATGTTTATATGTTTATTTGCTATTTCTACTTTGAGAAATGTGTGTTCATTTCAGATGCCCATTTTTGGATTGAGTCTTTAAATTTGGGAGGTCTGATTTTTTTAAGTTCTTTATAGAGTTGAGATAGTAGACCTTTGTCTGAGGAACACCAGGTGAAGATTTTTTCCCACATTATGGGTTGTCTCTTCACACTGTTGGTGGTTTCTCTTGCTGTGCAGAAAAGCTTTTTAATAAGAAGAGATCCCACTTGTTGACAGTTTGTGGTAGTTCACAGGCAACTGAGGTTTTGTTCATAAAATCTTTTCTTACACCAGTGTCTTCAAGAGTTCTACCTAACCACTGTTCCAGGCGATTCAGCATTTGTTTTAATATTTAGAACCTTAATCCATTTCTATTTTAGTTTAGTGCATGGTGAGAGATATAGGTCTAGTTTTAATCTTTGGCAAGTTGAAACTCAATTTTTCCAGCACTATTTATTAAAGAGGCTATCTTTCCTCCGTCAGTGCTCTTCTAGACTGTTACCTCAGTCCCCTTGACCTTTTTTTCCCTTTGTACTGGATATTGAACCCAGGGCCTTGTGCATGCTACAAAGTGTTCTCCCACTGAGCTACATCCCTCACCCCTTTTATTTATTATTTTATCCCATTCCCCCCTCAAGTCCCCTCCCCTCTCCCATGTACAGAAGCTTTGTTTCCATTTTTTCCTAATATTTTCACTTTTTTTTCCTTATCCCTTCCTTTCTCCCTCCTCCCTTGTTCCCCTTTTTATTTTCTGTTTTGAGGAGTAGCATCCAAGTTGCAAGCCTCTTGCCTCAGCTCGTTCGTTAGCTGGGGTTACAGGTGTGTGCCACTGCACCAAAACCTCTTCACTGGGGCCCATGTTGTCCCAACTAAATAAATGTTATAGCAAGGCTACCCTTTGATTCACCAGACTACTAAAGTACTCAAGTGGGTAGCCCTTAGTGTGAAACTGGCTCTGTAGGAAATGTGATTGAAGTTATTTCTGCAAGAGGAGGCTCATCCCAGCTTGTCTGACTCCTGATGACTCCTGGACTCCCACTTGGCATGAGGAGGGCCTTCAGCCATCATACCAGAGCAGCCTGGGATGAGGACAGGACCAGCTGACCAGCTGCAGGGCTGTCCCTGGATTGGTCGGAGGTCCGACAGGACTTCTTACCAGCATGAGAGGCTCTCAGTGATGAGAAATTATAACTTGTTTCTATTCCCTGCCCCTTTCATTGGATCGTAAACAGCCAGAGAAAGGGTGCCTGTGTTTGATTTGTCATTCAAAGTTCCATGCTCCTAGAGCAGTTTCTGTTGACATGTTGGGTCTGCTAATTCCTTGTTGGGGGCTATTTGCATTCCAGCCTCTACCCACTAGATGCCAGCAGGACCCCAATCCCAGTTGCAGCTACCTTTAGACATTGTTGAACATCCCTTGGGGGCAAAATCATTCCCTTTTGAAAACCAAAAAGAAAAAAAAAGAAAACCAATTGTCTGGAGGAAAGTGAACGCAGTCCAGCTTTACTTATGGAACCAGAACTTTAGTGTTTAATCTGATACTCCTTTCCTCCCTCTTCTCTAGCTCTAAGAATTCTTTAGCATTTGAGGGTGTAGCTCAGTGGTAAAGCACTTGCTTGGTACTGAGTTCAAGACCATATCACTGAGTTCAAGATCATATCACCGAAAAAACACTACACACACACACACACACACACACACACACACACACACACACACACACAGGCACAAAGAGAAAAATCTGGACTGGATGCAGCCAGGTGGTAGAGCATTTACCTGGCAGCATGCATGAAGTCCTGGGTTCAATCCCAGCACACACACTCACACTCACCCCCCCATCCCAATCTGTAGAGTAATAGTCCTGTAAGAGGGAACTAAATACAAACTTGAAAAGTACAGGGTTATGCAATACATCTTAACACTTTTAATTAGCTGGTAATAATTCATGATCAGGGGTGGGGATGTAGCTCAAGTGGTTTCGCTGCCTGCTGCGTAAGCGCAAGGACCTGAGTTCGATCCCCAGTACCCCCCCCAAATTCATGATCAACATCTAAGAGTTCAGATTACTGCACCTCAGAGGAACTTTTTCAGAAACTGTATCTCCCTAAGATATAATTTTACATGCTCTTCAGCAGACCTTCCAACTCCACTGACTTAGCCATTACCTCCTTCCGTTCCATATATTATCTTGCCACTTACTCCAAAGCCTGCATTTGCCTTGTCTCTTGTCACATCTCCCTCACCATTCTCTTGTGCCAACATTTATCTCCTAAGTGGTTTTCAGCCCTGTTCTCTATTTGTGGCCTACTACAGTAGCCTCCTACCTAGTTGCTTTGCCTCCTAATTTGTTTCTAGTCCCACCTCCAGGTGGACACCAGCATGGTCCCCTGTATCCCTCCTCTGCATAAAATTGACATTATGGGGTCAGAGGAGGCAGAATGAGGCAGTAGTAGCCAGACACCAGGGAATATCCTCATGGAGGGAGCTCATGAATACTGCATCCCAATATGTGCATGCTTTCATCCCCTACTTCCACAGGATGGATGGATGAACCACATTTTAAAAATGGGAAACTGGCCAGATGTTGGAGGCTCATACCCACAATCCCAGCTCTTGGGAGGATTTCTGCAAGTCTGAAGCCATCCTGAACTATGTAGTGAGACCCTGTCTCAAAAAAAAAAAAAGAAAATTGAAATTCAATTTCTCTGTGGTCACCAAGTTAGTAAACAGCTGAGCTGGGATTTAAAGCTCAGACTGACAGGAAGCTATCCTGTCAGTACCCCTCAAGAGAAGTACTCCTGTCCCCTGACTGGAGTATTTGGGGTGGGGATCTCTGGGATGTAGTTAGCTTTCTGTTTCCATGAGGTCTATACCTGTGGGTTCAACTAATATCTCAAACAAAATACTATTAAAAAAAAATCATGTTGGGCATAATGGCCTATGCCTGTAATCCAAGCACTGTGGGAGGCTGAGGCAGGAGGATTCCAAGTTTAAGCCAAGCATGGGCAATTTAGCAAGACCCTGTCTCAATAGTTTAAAAAGTGGTGAGACAGGGTCGGGGATTTAGCTCAGTGGTTTCGCAGCCTGCTGCACATGCGCAAGGATCCCCAGTACCAAAAAAAAAAAAGTGGTGGGACTGTAGCTGTGTGAAAGCCCTTGTACTGGAAAAAAAAAAAAGTGTTTGTTTTGGTACTGGGGATCGAACTCGGGTCCTTGCGCTTGTGCAGCAGGCAGCGAAACCACTGAGCTAAATCCCCGGCCCCAAAAAAGTGTTGAACATACACAGATTTTGTTTCGTTTCCTTGTCATTATTCTTTTTTGTTATGATAAAGGTTGGCCTTGAGCTCACTATGTACCCCAGATTAGCCTTGAACTTGGAATCCTCCTGCCTCAGCCTCAGGCATACTGGGATTATAGGTGTGCACCACTAAGCCTGGCTTTTGTCATCATTCCCTGAAACACTAACAACTGTTTATATAGCATTTACATTAGGTATGAGAAATAATGTGGAGATAATTTAAAGTATATAAAAGGATATATGCAGGTCCTATACAAATAGTACACGATTTTAAATAAGGGACTTGAACATCCAAGAAGTTTGGTATCCATAGGAGTACCAAAGTAAGGGGTGGCAGTCTTTGGAACCAATCCCCTGTGGATACTGAAGGATGATTGCATTCTTAAAAATCTTATTTTTGGGAAGACCACCTGTGAGCCATCTTCTCAACTTGAATTTGAGTTTTTCTTGTCTAAGGTGAAAACTGTTTC